TCAGAGAGTCAGGGATCGCGAGGAGGAAGTTGGGGGGAAGGGGTAATTTCGTAAATCAAGCAAAGACGTTCGCAGTGAGTGAAGTCTCTTAGAAGAAACTAGTACAACTTTGGGGGCCTCGCATTCAGGACGTTAGGAAGATAGATGAGCACAACCGTCACAGAAATTCGGCATTATGGCCCAAATATGCTATAAATCTACTTGAGATGCCGCAGGCAACCAGGGATAAGCGTCCACACTTTACTCAGGTAACACGTATTTAATAAAGGAGACGATCCGTGAAGGCAGTGCCTAATATCTGCAGGCATGTGAATCAGAGCCTAGGAGCTCTGCTTGGTGAGGCGGCATCGTACGTGCTTCTAAGGCCTTGAGAAACAGCGTCTGGAGTAAGACATACACTAGGATTGGATCCGAGTGAAATTGGTCAACCAGAAAAATAAGCAACGTATATACGAGACTATGAGGGAGGTCCGGATAGTTGGCCAACAATACCAAGTTGTAAAAACGAGGTTACCCCACTTCACATGATAATGATGTAAGACTGTTTACACTAAATATAAGTTCATCGGACCTTTTGTGTCAGCTTTGTCATTGCTGTTGAGGATCATCATACAAGCTCTACTATTTTTATACATTTCCCACATGTCTTTTATATTGTGGATATTATATCATATTATTTACCAATCTTATTGTCTCGGCTTAATTCTTAAATTTGACATTTTTATGGCTAATGACCAAAGATCGCTTTGTTTTTGGCTTAGATTTAAAAACTTCTCGATCCAATGGGTTTGATTTTTGAATTGTGGACTAATTTTTCTGTATTTCAAAATAGATTAGAGCATTGATTTGTCTTCACACTTGTCTCCAATTTAAAACTAATATACTTTCAGTTTCCCTCTCTCCAATAGATGGACTTAGCTGTCAAGTCCCAAATCTGTCAGGGGGAAGTGTATCCCCTTCGGTGCCAATGCTCCTAGCCACTGATGAGGAATGTGACCGCCTAAGAATGGCTATGGTCGTTAGTCAGGATGCTGCTGTCGTCCATTCTTTGCTGGAATTCTGCCTTCCTACAGAAGAAGAGAAGGTTAGATTTTTGACTACGCAATTTCGCTGAAGGTTAGTTGACTGATTTCACTCGATTCCAGTCTCAATGTATGCCTTAGTCAAGTGGATATTTGTCAAGCCTTCCTGACAGAGCAGTGCTACTCAAGACTTGAGAAATAACCCCTTGACTAAAGCGTACACTGGTACTGGAATCGAGTGAAATTAGCCAAATAAAAAGATAATAAAGGAATCTATGGGCCAATGAGGCAGATCCGGATAGGTTTCATTTGAATCAGCCAGTCGAGGGGAAGAGGGACAAGGTGAACAGCAGGGGTGATGATGCCACACTAAACTCGGTAAAAAGGGTCCACCTTTTGAGGAGTGGAGTAAAAACAAGTCAGAAGTTTTGATAGAGCGAGAGTGAGATAAGAGGGTGAATGTGCCAGGGCAGAAAAAAGAGTAATAACTTAACTGCTGAGCAGAAGGCTGGTCAAGGGATTGGCTTCACTTGACTCTTTGACGAGTTGTTGCTCTATGTTGAGAATGTCAAGACTCACTAACGAGGTCGACTACCATGCCGGACAAATTTCACGGCCCCATGCTG